ATAATAATAAGAATAATAATAATATAATAGTAACAATAAGAATAATAACAATAATAATAATAACAATAATAACAATAATAATAATAATAATAATAATAGATGTTAGGGTTAATTCAATATGGGCAATTTGGGAATTGTATAAAAGAATTAAGGGCAAAAAGGTAATATACATGGTCAACATAAAAGGGCTTTTAAGTTAAAAAAGAAGAAGTTCCCCTCACCTAGCTTTTGGCTTTTGGCTTAAAATAAGTCATTTCTGACTTAAAATAAGTTACTTTGATAATTGCCAAACACTCTAATAAGTCAAAAACTGACTTTTAAGCCAGTTTGACCAACTTAAAAGCCCATCCAAACAGGTTCTTACACCATTAATCTAATTTATGTTGTTTTTTTCTCAGCTCATCTAGAGTTTTTGCATTGCTTTTACCAGTTTCCATAGTTGCATCTTACTAGGCTACTTTTTCTTGCATAAGAATATGGATATATATGTGTCGATTTTTACACTCAAACAGAAGGACACTAAGTTTTTTTTTTTGGTTCTTTAGTGCAAAAAGTAAACAACTTTGGTACTTTTGTTGCAATTAAATTATTCATATTCGAATTCTATCCCTCTATTAGTTACTATTCACAAATCACAACTCATAAATTTATTAGCTATGTATGTCAAAAAAAATTATTTTCAAAGTTTAAACTCGAAAATTTTAATTAAAAGCAAAAAAAATCTTAATTTTTTCATCAAATATTTTAGTTGTACTTGAGAATAATAATGAAGGAAAGTTGATTGGATTGTAGCCTACTACGAGGCAGTCATATCATTAAAGAAAGAATAGTACATGTTCTTCATGTACTTTTAAAGGACAACAAATCCTTTTTATCCTCTCTTGGTGCCTTTGGGTACCAAAAGTGAGGTCTTAATTAATCTACCTTTTTTTAAACAAGTGGAGTATTAAAATTGTTATTGATAAATTTTGATTTTAATTATCTACATTTAATTAATTAAAATATATGTTTTGATTCTCTTTTGTATATATACAGCTGATTTTTCAAACTATATTATCGTTCAATGTGGAATAACACTAGTCTAACCTTAATATTAAGTGAATGAACAATTAATAATCATAGTAAATATATGAATATTCACAAGTAAACAAATCAAAAGTACAACTTTCAATTAATTTAAAATTAATAATATTACAAGAACCAAAATATATAAGAATTATAGCTTTACCTATCGGTTTTTTTTTCTTACGTCAATATCAAACCAAATCTTATCGTTTTTCTTTTATCGTGTTTGGTTTGATTTTTCTATTTGATGTGATTTTTTGATTTTGTTTGAACACCTCTAATTCTATCCATGTCTAGGAAAACATATTTATTTATGTCAATATCTTTTTAAAGTAAAATGACTTATGTTCGGTACTCCGGTAATAAAAGATTGATAAAGTGGACAAAAAGAAAAGAATTACGATTAACTTCTTTATGACAAACAAAGTGAGAGAGACTACATACAATATTTGTTTTGCTTTTGTTATTTATCTTTTTAGAAAATGAAAATAAAATAAAAAACTTTTTTTTGAGGCTTTTAAGATTTGCAAACTTTCATAGAATAGAATCATATTCTACTCCTATGTATATATTATATATAAAGCCCTAAATCCCTATAAAGATTTGCATTGCTACACTTACTAATTTATAATTTGGTTTATCAACTAGAAATATTTATCTGCCTATGACTGCAGCTGGAATCACTAAGCTTTCACAGAGATTACAACTAATTAGGTAATTAATGTGTTGTTTAATTTCTTCTTCTCTCAATTGCCTTGCGTTATTAGTTACTTGTACTTTTAAATTTATAGTAATTTATAATTTGAAATCATTCACAAATGCTAGCAAGATATATATCATACTTAATTTCACAAATAATACCAACTTACCCCTAGAGTCTACTCGAAACGTTTTTTCATTCAATCCGTCAACAAAAAATAAAAAGTTAGAATATATGGTGGAAATCATGTCCTTGGCAAATTTACGTGAATGAAATTTATGGTTGTAAAATTAGATATTTTATGTATATATTTTTTAAAATTAGCATAATATTATCTGCTAACATCCATGATATAAGATAAGATGGGTTAATGGTTGATGTAGGCCACATAAAGTGCACCAAATTAAACGCATGATGAGTAGGTGGACGGAAAATATTGATGAGAGAGGTGAAACACGAAGAAACTCGAAGGAGGAGTGGTGGGTGCCACATCGTCGAACAGGAATATATTTTCCAACAGGGCAAGAAAGAGTGATGAATGATATACCAAATGGTGCAGCCTCTCTTCCCCAAAATTATTGGTTAAGGGGTGAAGATGGTGTTGAAAAACCCGACCCGGATTCTCCCATTGCCTATAAACATTACTACTAGTTCTTAACTACTTATTAGATGATAAAATAAAAGACTTGGGATCTTCCAAAAATAATTACTAGTGATCTTATAATATATATATATATAGTTGTAATGTAATGTAATGTAATAATAAGATACGTTGCAAAATAATGTATTACTATAACATATGGTTTCATAAATATTAAACCACTATATTCATGCATGTTGGAAAAAAGAAAAAATGGACAAGAGTCGATGTATGTTCGAAGGGTAAGTTCAAAAATAGTTTTAAATTTTCAAGTTTGTTGAAAACTAAGATTTTTAGTTAACCTTCAAATAAATTTAAGATAATCAAAATTATAAAAATTGTACTTTTAAATGTAAGTTCTTACTAGTAATATTTTTTCCTCCATAGTCTCTATCAAATCTAACAATCAAAATTCGATAAATATTTGTTAGAGACTAAAAATATTAACTTTTGACAATATTTAGTACTTTTTGTCTAGTTTTTGAATATCTAAACTTTTTGTTTTAAATATCAAATTAATGTAATCTAATTTAACTTTGAAAATGAGTCAAATTGACTTTCGAAAAGTACAACATGTCAAATAAAGTGGACGGAAGGAGTATTTAATTAAGAGATTATTTTAAACTTACCTTTAAATACAAGAGGCCATTTTTGTTATTTCTTGTTGATTAAAAAGGAGTAAAAAAATTAGATCCCCGTAACTCTTAATATTTTTGATGTTATAGTGTATTTACATATCCATAAACTAAATTCAGCCATAATACCCTAAAATATACTTAATTAGTACACATTCTTACGTTAAAATATTATTCGTATCATGAGTAAAGCTATATATATACGCAAATCAATTTATCAACATCTTCAAGATGTGAACTTTCGTACATTCGCTATGGGTTAATACTTTATGGCATCTTGAATCAAAGAGTAGAGAGACAAGACATAAAAAAGAATCTAATACTTTTGTTTGAAATATTACTATATGGTTGTGATAACTTAATTGTGAAAATATTTTTTTATAATCATTTACAAATTAAACTAAAAGATATTTTAAAATTTTTTATGTATAAAAATAAAACTCTTTTATAAAAAAAATGAAATTAAAAATAAATTTCCAAAATGCTACAAAACCACGACTCCCTTATGTAAATTATATATTATAGATTAATTTTTTTTTAAAGTTATATATATTTTCTTCTTCCCATTTGATGTGATACGGTGTAGAGTAGAATAATTAAGTTAATTAATGTTTGGTGTTAATTTTAAACATAAAATTCTTAAATTTACATAAATACCATAATTTATTTGACAATGAACATAAAAATATGTGATGCGAATTTGAAATAGTTTGATTCTAATTTTATATGCAGTTTGAATTCAGAATAATCTAATTCTAACATGGATGAGCATAAAAAAAGTTTGAAATAATCAGATTCTAATGCCTTAAGTTAACAACATTAGTAGGAAATCGAAATCAACAATATACAACATATAGAATCAGAGAATTTCTAAAAACTAGGGTTTTGGTCTTAAACCCCAAACAGAACACATCAGTGATTTTGCTCCTTCCACCATTAAACCCTCTCTACCCTTTTCGCCCCCTCTAACTTTGGCTTTGAACCCAAAACAGGACACTATCAGTCTAGCACTGGTATAACAAGGTATTTACTTGCTATAAAAATCAAATCTTTTTTCTCGTATGAGGAAAATTTGTGGAGGAAGATTAATTTTTTATTTCAAAGTTTTGATTTTTTGACACGCAAAAACTGGCGTGTAAGCCATTATAGCTCCTTTTTATGCTAATTTTTTTAGTGGGTATGTTATTTGTGATTGTTATTGTAGACTCTATTTTTTAAAATCATCTCTTCTTCATTGCAGAAACAGAGTTTGGCAATGGCAACATCTGCTTGGGACATTGCTGCAACAGAGTTCTTACAAGTATGATCACTATTTTATTGTCTTGAATATGCTCTGTTTAATGATGTTTGGTAAAGTTTTTATTAATCACCATGGAACAGTTGTTAAATATGCTTTATTTACACTACAGGGTTTTCATAGACAAAAGTTAGCATTGCCCAGACATTCTAGTAGGCAGACAAATCGTTTGCTTTGGGGCACACTTCCAAGATCGAGCCATGTTCCATATTCACATAAAAATTTGAGATTAAGGTCCCATATTAGGGCGAAGATTAAGGCTGTTGTATCTAAGGATGTCAGTAGCTTGGTAAATGAAGATTCAGACAAATTTCAGGAGGTTGATGAAAAGGTGATACATTTATATCGCGTTCCGTTCCTACAGGACAGTGCCACTGCTGAGCTTCTCAAATTGGTTCAGACAAAGATATCAAATCAAATAATTGGCTTGAAAACTGAACAGTGCTTTAACATTGGTCTCAGTTCAGATCTTTCAATTGATAAACTTTCTGTGCTTAAATGGGTTTTAGGAGAAACTTATGAACCTGATAGCTTGGGAAGTGAGAGTTTCCTTGATGGGGAGAAGAGAAAAAGTGTGGATGCATATATCATTGAAGTTGGTCCGCGGTTGTCTTTCACTACAGCGTGGTCTGCTAATGCAGTGTCGATTTGTCAAGCATGCGGGTTAACAGAGATAAATAGAATGGAGCGTTCGAGGAGGTATTTATTATATGTCAATGGGTCACTTCCGGATAGTCAAATTAATGCATTTGCTTCGATGGTTCATGATCGGATGACGGAGTGTGTCTATGCTGAGAAGCTTTCCTCTTTCAAGACAAGTATAGTTCCAGAGGAGGTTCGATATATACCTATCATGGAAAAGGGTCGTAAGGCATTGGAGGAAATTAATGAGAAAATGGGCTTGGCCTTTGATGAGCAAGACTTAAAGTACTACACCAAACTTTTCAGGGATGACATTAAGCGAAACCCAACTAATGTAGAACTATTTGATATTGCTCAATCTAATAGTGAACACAGTAGGCACTGGTTCTTTACTGGAAAGCTTGTACTAGATGGTCAATCTATGGATAAGACTCTTATGCAGATCGTCAAAAGCACTTTGCTTGCAAATCCAAATAATTCGGTTATTGGTTTCAAAGATAATTCCAGTGCTATCAAGGGATTTCCAGTGAAACAATTGCGACCTACTCAGCCTGGCTCGACATGCCCCTTGGATGTGACTGCCAGATTCCTTGATATCTTGTTTACTGCAGAAACCCACAATTTCCTTTGTGTTGTGGCACCTTATCCTGGAGCTGAGACAGGTGCAGGCGGTCGTATCCGAGATACCCATGCTACTGGAAGAGGTTCTATTGTTGTTGCATCTACAGCTGGATATTGTGTTGGGAATCTTAATCTTGAAGAGTCATATGCTCTTTGGGAAGATCGTTCTTTCACATACCCAGTAAATTTGGCATCACCACTGCAGATCCTTATTGATGCTAGTAATGGAGCATCAGATTATTGAAATAAATTTGGGGAGCCCTTGATCCAGGGTTATACTCGAAATTTTGGAATGAGACTGCCAAGTGGTGAGAGAAGGGAATGGTTGAAGCCAATCATGTTTAGTGCTGGCATTGGGCAAATAGATCACCTTCACATATCAAAGGGAGAACCTGAGTTTGGTATGTTGGTAGTTAAGATTGGAGGACCAGTATATCGCATTGGAATGAGAGGCGGTGCTGCATCCAGCATGGTCAGTGGACAGAATGATGCCGAGCTTGACTTCAATGCCGTGCAGCGTGGAGATGCTGAGATGGCACAGAAGTTATATCGGGTTGTTCGTGCTTGTGTTGAAATTGGTGAAAACAACCCCATCATTAGTATTCATGACCAGGGTGCTGGTGGAAACTGTAATGTCGTGAAAGAGATAATACACCCAGAGGGTGCCAAAATTGATATAAGGGCAATTGTAATTGGTGATCACACCATGTCTGTTCTAGAAATTTGGGGTGCAGAGTATCAGGAGCAAGATGCAATACTGGTGAAGCCTGAAAGTCGTGGTCTTTTGCAAGTTATTTGTGCAAGGGAAAGAGTTCCCATGGCTGTTATTGGAACAATTAATGGTGAGAGGCGTATTGTTCTGCAGGATAGTGTAGCAATTGAAAAATGCAGGTCTAGTGGACTGCCTCCTCCTCCGCCTGCAGTTGATCTTGAGCTTGAGAAGGTTCTTGGCGATATGCCTAAAAAGACATTTGAATTAAATCGCATGAATACTCTGCGTGAGCCACTTGATATTGCTCTTGCAACAACAATTTTAGATTCACTGAAGAGAGTCTTGAGGCTTCCTTCTGTTTGTTCGAAAAGGTTCTTAACCACTAAAGTTGACAGGTGCGTCACAGGCCTTGTGGCACAGCAGCAAACTGTGGGTCCCTTGCAGATTCCTCTTGCTGATGTTGCTGTAATAGCTCAAACTTATACAGGCTTAACTGGAGGTGCATGCTCAATTGGGGAGCAGCCAATAAAAGGTCTTTTGGATCCAAAAGCAATGGCACGGTTGGCTGTCGGAGAAGCACTCACAAATCTAGTTTGGGCGAAAGTTACATCTCTTTCTGATGTTAAAGCAAGTGGGAATTGGATGTATGCTGCAAAGCTAGATGGCGAAGGCGCTGCAATGTATGATGCTGCTGTTGCTCTTTCTGAAGCTATGATTGAACATGGAATTGCAATTGATGGGGGGAAAAATAGTCTTTCCATGGCAGCCCAGGCATCCGGGGAAGTTGTTAAAGCTCCAGGGAATCTAGTCATCAGTACTTATGTGACATGTCCTGATATAACTAAGACGGTTACGCCAGACTTGAAGCTTGGTGATGATGGTGTACTGCTTCACATTGACTTGGCCAAAGGGAAACAGCGACTTGGTGGATTTGCTCTTGCCCAGGTTTTTGATCAAATTAGGGATGAAAGTCCTGATGTGGATGACGTCTCTTATCTTAAAACTGTTTTTAATGAGGTTCAGAATCTAATCTCTGATGAGCTGATATCTGCCGGTCATGATATCAGTGATGGAGGACTTATAGTGGCTGCCCTTGAAATGACATTTGCAGGGAACTGTGGCATTAACTTAGATTTAGTTTCTTCAGGAAGTAGTGTACCCCAAACACTTTTTGCAGAGGAGCTTGGCCTTCTCATTGAAGTTAGCCGGAAGAACTTGGATTTAGTTTTGGAAAAGCTCCGCCTTGGTGCTGTTTTAGCTGATATCATTGGTCAAGTTAATTCATCTCCAATAGTTGAATTGAGGGTT